CGCGTACGCACCAACATCGACCGCCAGTCTGCATGATGAAGAGACCTACTATCAGATTCCGTGACCTGCTGATTGTTGCCGTGGGGACTGGAATGACCGGACTGTACTAAGCGACAATTCAAATGGTCACCTATGCGACCGCGTTGGGTCTGGATTTTGATGTGACCATGGCGAGAATGAGCTTTGTCGACCAGAACCGATTGTTTCTCACCTGCATGTGCTTCCAGCATCATCAGAAACATTTGTCGACCTGGTCTTTAAACGATGGCCGCACGAACTCTGGTCGGTTCAAGATTCCAGTGTGTGATGCCGCGACTGGTAATGACCGGGGGTCAGACTGTTCGCATAAGCCGGAAAGTTCACCTCTCATGCGAACTCGGATTGTCACGTACAAGACGCCCTGGTGCCGCAAAGCCACGACAATTTAGAGTGGCCGAGTAGCGTTACGGTGATTAATTCAGCGGAAGAATCTTACAGTATTACGGTAATTAAGTGTGCCCGGTAGTCATCTGGTGGATTGTAGATTGATTGCTTAGGAAATCCTGCTTGGGCAATAGGCTGGGCGGGTAAATCGATCCAAGTGTGATTAAATTCACGGCTCTCGGCGTGCTTTCGTTGCTCAACTGGTAGAGCGTTGACTGTAATAAGGCCTTCCTTGTCGATGGGGGTTCAAATCCCACCAAGGCTACGATTTTTTTCACAATTGGGTAAATTAAATTATTTGAAAATGCCACCGTTTCCATACTCGCGCGACTTCAGTGTGTACGTGACTCGAGGAAGAGACCTAACCAAACAGGTCTTCGACGTTGGTGTTCGATCAGACACTTACACTGCGCATTCTTGCATTCCGCCTTAACTATCAGAAACTGGCGACCATCTGTTTGTAAACTTTGCTGTAGCATTCGATTCTGTCCCTATAGCAAAAATCATTGCCATGGTCAGTGTCTACTATCGTCTCACCACGGCAAGAGTTATGGTTCACAGCAGGCTTTCTGTGACTCGCCCGGTATTCGGTCGAACGTTTGATAGGGTTGCATTCTGTCCCCCACTGTAATCAACTACACGACTGACTTGATTTTCAGCAGGGCCTTACACGATTTTGCTCGTTTCCGTCTTGCACTCGAGCGCCGGATGCCGTCCTTGACTTACAAGGACAGTATTGCTGTGTTAACCTTCAGTTCTAATGACCTGCATCACGTAAGGTCGGACAGAATGAAGTCGCTAAATCAAACGGTGTGTCTATAAACTCTTGGAAGATCAAAGTGCTTACGAGCTGCATCCCTAACCAGGAGAAAGCACTTCTCAGGACCAGTGGTTGTCAACTGTCTAGTTTCCAGGCACAGTTGCTGCCGGTTAGGATGGCAGCTTCTCCCAAAACGATGCCGCTTGCAGAATTTTCAAACTCCTGGGAAGGTGTACATGAACCCCATGCGATGCCTTGTTGTCACAAAGACTCTGGTGTACCGGACAACAGTCCGGTTAGTTCGCCTGTATAAATGCGAATGCTGAGCTTTGTGCGTGAAAGATGAGCGAAAACGGGGGGTGTTTGACCACAACCGCTACCTGAAAACCGTCCTTCTAGTGAAGTACATTGAAGTAAAAGATAGTCCGCAGCCAGGCCACGACTGGGGTGGTTTGGGCACATTCTTCGCCCGCCCGCTGAGTGCTAATGCTCCCGAACAGACGCGGGTGCTCACCTAGAGACCTAGAATAGGAGGTTGACTCGGAGCCTGGCTCGA